CCAACATCCCATGGTGCTCCGCACTCCAAGAATTCAAGGGTATCGCATTTCAGATAGAAATAAAAGCAATTTTCACTTCATTTTAAATAACTCCACGGAGTTGGTAGGCTGTAAAAGAAATGGAAAAGTTGGGCGGTGGGTTCCGGCCACACACACAATCTTCAAGGGATATAACGATGGTCTAAACCGTTTGACCCGGCGCCATACTAGTTAATCATTCTACGTACGAATTAGTGAATTTTGACCTCGAATACACTTTTCATCTTGCAATAACTATTTCCTCGAAACGAAACCGCTTATCCACTTAGCCCCTTTGCATCCAATTACCTTGATGGATACCGGTACAACTTAATGTTCGCTAAAATCACTGACCAATGTATATTGGCTGACCAGCATGACGCCAGGCGGAGAAAGATGATCTTCTGACCTGTTTTACTGAGGAAATCCGTTTCACCTGTTGAAAAACAGTGGATATTCGTTTCATCTGATGAGCTGGGTGGAAATTAAATATTGAATGCCTTGTTGTTGGGATCCAATATGTGAAATTCTGGGTAGTACTAAACTTGTTGCAATCACCAAACAGTTTTCGCTGACTACCACTCTCACAACGCATTCTCTCAATGATCTATCTCACTCGAGGTTGATCATGGAAATCTTTTGGATTTCATGTTATACGTATTGTTTGCACGCATGCAGTTTCTGGACGGGCGTGTTCCAAAGTCGAATTCATTCATTAACCGCTCCACAGCCCAGATACGAATGTAATCGAAAAGTTTCCCCCGTGCGGAGGACAGATAAGTTGACCACTTTGAGAGTGGCCGTTAGAGACCGTGGTGAGGCATGTTTGTCAAATGTGATTGGCTTGCCAAAATGATCAACCCCATTCCTGAAAAATAAAGGAGGGCGCACGTGTTATTAACAAAATGAGTACAACTGTATCATGCTATAAATCGCTCTCACAACTGAATTCTTATGATCGTCTTCCACGGAGGTTTTGTTGTCTTACAATTGATGCTCCACCAACCGTCTCAAAAGTTGAGAAATCGTACTTTTATGAGGCTGTTGCCTAGTAGAAGCAATAACATAAATGGATGTCGTTGTAGATATGTGGTGTTTGATGTGGTGTAATGCCATATTCATTTGCGCGAATGAGGATCAAAACGCTAGACTTCTAGAGGAAGAGATCTGACGCAGGTCAGGGTGTTGCACAAGCTTGATCTATATTTATCACAAAGAGCTGAAGGCTCCCAACCTAAAATGCCCACTGCCAATTGTTGCCTGTTTGTGACATGTCTACCTGCTTGAAAGAGTAAAACTGAAAATTGCACTACCATGTGAGTGGTGCTATTCTTGACTTCGCCGGTTTATACGTTAAGCATCCCGAAACGAAGCAACAAGTCCACGTCAACGGTTTACCACTTTTAGGTCCGTTTTATCCCATGGTCATCACTTTAGGTCTTCTGGGATTTCCGGTTTGTTCTTCCCACAGTATTGTGCAAAGAAAATGCTGTCCATCTACATTCTGCTAATCTGATATAAATGGCAAATTGTACATGCTAAAGATTTGTTTTTGTTACTTACTTCCTTCACTGAAAATGCCCATCTTAACATTGACAGAACAACACGCGTAGCGAACAAGCTCGTTTTCGATTACGACATTTTCCGGTTAATGTGATTATATATATATATATATATATATATATATGAAGTGAACAAATGTGCAACAAATAATGCCGGAATGAATATGCGTTTCCTTCTGAAGCGTAATCTATTGTAATATTTATCTGCTTCTTCGAGCCGAAGAAATGAAGCAGCTCAAATCTGCTTTTGCAGGGAATTTACTAGTTATCTGACCAACTACAACCGCTGATGTACTGTTTGTGTTCATGACACCGAGCAGCATCACAGCGATTCACAATCCAGTTGCCTGAATCCCGTACATTTGTTCAAATTTTTCACTTCCCTTAGGAGTCTATTTTTGACCACAAACGTCGTTTTACATTTGTAGATAAAACAGAAAATAAACATTTTGGCGTTATTGTTATTTGATGAGGAAAGAAAACTGATCCCTTTGAAAATGAATACAGTGCTGACTGCAATAGAAGAAGCCGAAATCTAACTCCTATTTTTTCATCCACCCCACTTCGCTTCCAACGGTAAAGGGCTTTTCCATCTTCTTATCTCTTCCTAGTCCGACTTCC